GGAGAAAGAGAGAAGGGGAGAGAAGAGAGAGAGGAGAGAAAGAAAGAGAGGAGGGAGAAAGAGAGAGAAGGGTGAAACAGAAAGAGAAGAGAGCAGCGAGAGAGAGAAGAGAGGAGAGAGGAGAGAGAAGACGAGAGAACGAGAGAAACGAGAGCGAAAGAGCGAAGAGAGCGAGAGAGCGAGAGCGAGAGAGCGAGAGAGCGAGAGAGCGAGGAGCGAGAGAAGAGAGAGAGAGAGAGACAGAGAGAGAGAGAGAGAGAGAGAGAGAGAGAGAAGAGAGAGAGAGAGAGAGGAGAGAGAGAGAGAGAGAGAGAGAGAGAGAGAGAGAGAGAGAGAGAGAGAGAGAGAGAGAGAGAGAGAGAGAGAGAGAGAGAGAGAGAGAGAGAGAGAGAGAGAGAGAGAGAGAGTGAGAGTGAGTACAGGAAGAGGCTGCAATTGTCAATTACTGTTCCCTGTCATCTTTGAGAGGGATTGCCCTGTTTTCCTTTTTCTTCTTCAATTCGTGTTCTCACATTTTGAAATCACAGTCTTCTGTTTTCGAAAGTTGTTTCCATGTTTTATTTATCATCAATTCCCAATGTTTCCTGTATGTGTGATTCATTTAGGTTTACAAAAGAGGTCATTTTGTTTTTTATCGTAAAAACTAGTTTCTCCTCATTTCTTAAACTTTTAATATTTAGTTATTAACTATACAAAATACTTAGGCATTTACTACTCAGCCATTTCTATGCATATTATGTAATTAAAAGGGTATTTGTAGATGCTGGATAGTTTGTTCACAATATTATAAATAAATGTTTTATTGATACAGTGAAAGTGACCTACCTCAAATTGTACAAGTGATACCATTCTTGATCTACATGTGAATCAATCATCTATTTTCAAGACAACTTTTATAAATGCATACCTGGGGCCACATTTGCTTTAGCTGACATGTGTCAACTACAATTTCTCTTATCTGGCATACTGTGGAATTGATCAAAAGTAATAAAAACAATCTTTAATTGTAATTCTCTGGTTGGCATTATGCTGACATATTATTAGGTTCAGTCCATCTAACCCACCCTTAAAGCACTGTGGCACATATCTCGACATTTGGTCACTGGCCTTTGTTTACTGTCTGCTACAGAAGAGCTCGTTACCCACCACTACCTTTAGTTTGGTATGGCTTTAGCTCAGTCCGGCCTACAATCCTCAAAATATCCACAGCTGTATCCCAACCTGTATATCACACAAACATGCACCCAACACTAGACGGAGCTAAACTCCACCAAGCCCAGCATTTAGGGATCAAACCTTAATACAATATATTCTGAGATAAATATATAGTACCCCCTGCTCTTGTGAATTAAGAACATTGGTTTCCAATTGTGTCCCATCAACTACAAGGCCCATGCATATCCACAAAGGTATTTTAGATACTACTGAGGAAGAGTTAAAACAGATAATAATTCCTGAACATTTATTTACAGAGAAATATGTATTCATGCTGGTCTAGAAACATGACATATTTATTCATCATTGCACATATTCTATTCACATCTTTTATATAATCTAACAAAATAAAACAAAAACTATTATTTTACAAAATGCATTAGCTACTGGAAGAGAGATCTCATAACTTTCCAATATTCACACCAAATTTTCCATATATTTACATAGCAATGACGTCACATGTTTCCAACAAATTCTTAACACATGATAAAAACTATATAGAACGTCTTAAACTGTATTTTATTAGCTTGAAGACGATGAACCAGATTCTTGTTTGGGATTGTAATAATCAGAATAATCATATGCTCTGAAGGGTACATCGAATGTCAGGAGGCCATAGTCTCGGGATTTCTCCACTGCTACGAGCAACTCCTTGTGTCTTCTCTGGCACAGGTTTGTTTTTCTGAAATTGATGAATCAACGAATCATAATGGGAAAGGAGAAAAATATAGAGAATTTTTTTTTTTTGCTGATTCAAACATGAACATTCTTATTGTGACTAATGGATAAAACAAAAGAAATAGCAATATATAGTGCTCTTATATCTTATTTGAAGAAGAAAAAAGGAGATATATTTTTTCTTGTAAAACAACATATTGTAACAGTTGCATATAAACATTACACAAGTTTACTTACTGGTATGATAAGATCTCTCCATTGAAAGGTGATACGAATTGTGTCAAAAGATCAACATTACGATAATCCAAGACCAGGTACTCATCACGGCAAATAGGACAAGGGTTGCCGGTTGAAATCATATTCTTTCTCTGTAAGAATATATATATATTTATCAGTATCAAACAAAATATACAGTGCAAATATACCTGATTACTTTGATTTCATATTAATGTTTCATTAAAAATAATGCCACACCAAATTTAATATCTCACCTCTCTTAACGCTTTTATTTTGTAATACCACATGATAACCGAAAATTGTTTTAAATTCAAGACTTACTATGCACGTTTTCCTAGTTTTGCGAGGTGCAAAGGCTCCCTTAAAATTTCTGCGATATCTCTTCCATACTGGATCTGTGCCATAAGTTGTCTTGTAAGCTGTAAAGACAAAATGTTGCATTAATAGCTTTAACACACACACAAAAAAGAGAAAGGTGTAGATGAAAAAGAAGAAGAAGAAAAAAAAGTTACTGGTTAATGGTTACAAAGCAAATTAAATGAGCTTGACATCTAAGGTTATATAGCACTATAGAAAGGTGTAATAGTCGTAAAGCAGTTCAGAGAGGTAAGGATTAATAATGTGATTAGATCAAAGTTGTCAAAGGAAGTTGTGTGGGATTCTGCAAGGGTATGGTAGGAATTGGCACAGGAGAAAGGGGGATTTAAGGACAATTAGATCACAGTTTCAGGAAAAATGTCAGGAGGGAGAGAATCCAGGGAAAGGGGTTACTGTAACATGTGGATCCAAGGGAAAGCGGAAGGGATAATGGGGAAGGAAAGGGGGATTACGCAGCTGAAGCAGGGGGGAAAGGCATGTGTTGGATGGAAGTGGGAGGAAGGGGGAACATGAGTAGGAGGAGGATGGATGTTGGGGAGTTACTTTGAGTGTAGAAGGAATGGGAACTGAGAGATTAGACTATGGATGAGGTATAAGCATGTTATATTGGGTCATGATTAGATAGTTTTAAATGTCCTCAAGAGTTTCTAAAGCGGAGTTGATTGGGGAGGTCGAAGAAACAAAGGTTTTCTTATAAGGAAGAGAAGACAGACATTTGAGGGGCAGAGGGATAGCTTGATGAAGGAGAGGATGCTGTAGGAAAAGATGGGATGGAATACTCTGCTTGTCTTGTGTGACGAGTTGGGCGAGAAGGAAGATGGGTAAGTAGCAGGGAAGTAGAAACTGGAGTGTCTGGAATAGTGATGGAGATTGAATTGTCTGGATTTAGAATGGTAAAAGAATTTGACTGGGAGAGGGAGGGGTTAGAAGTGGGATGAGGAAGAGATAGTGGGATAGATGTAGAAACATCCTGGGAGGGAAGGGGGGAAGTGCAGAAAGAAGGACAATACTGGGGTAAGGAGGAAGAACAAAAAACACATCTGTGTGCTTCCTGTCTGGCCTCAAGTAAAGTGAGGCCAGTTTGAATCTGAGATATGCAACCTCACACTCAAACTTCTAGGTAGGGCAGCCCCAATAAAATACATTATGGGAGCTACCACAAATGGCATATGTGTGTGATTGTGCAGAGCAGTTTGGTTGATCATGAACAGGTGGAGCACACACAGGGCATGGGGCTGTGGAGCAGCAGTGTTTGGCAGGGTGGCATAGACACCAGTAATTCTGACATTAAGAGTGGAGGGTTGACGTGGTCAGACAGAACGCACTCTCAGCCAATATAATCATCAAAGGGGAGGTCATATCTATGGAAAGTAAACTTGGCAATGTTGGTGGAGGACTCATGGCAGCCTCAAGGGGGAATGGTGTAGCATTGTACTGATACTGCATCATAGTCCATGAAGCAGGCAATCCTTGTCGTAAACAGGACAGTGTGTTGGGGAGATGGTGAGAATTCTGGTACAATTATTGAAGGAGGGATGAGGTGAGGCAGTTATGGGTTTGCCAGTGAAGTTAGTTAGGGATGACACTGCTTTAACTTGGGACTCGAATGTAACTGCAACAAGATGGGAAAGATTGGGGCAACTGCGGAAAGTAACTTTGCCTACTTGTTTTTTGAGGCAGGCAGGAAGAGGAGTGTGTTGTCCAAGTAAAGGGCTCTAGACAGGATCATGAAAAATTGATGCTATTTGGCTACGTTAAACAGTGTATTCAAAAGGTTTGTACAAGTTGGGGTAGTAGAAGGGCAGGGATGAAGAAAGAAAGAAAAAACAGTTGGAAAAGAAACTTTCAGCAGAAAAATACATAGATAAACATGTATAGCCACAGACATATATATATATATATATATATATATATATATATATATATATATATATATATATATATATATATATATATATATTTAAGCAAAAAGATAATTTCCCAGCACCCTTACATACTGGACCATGCTTGATCATCCATTTTGACAGGTAACAGTTATATAACAATTCATCAATACTCCTTTGTTCCCTTATCTCTAAACTCGTATTTTTTACCTATGGGATTTGGCCCATAACTGTATCACCAAGATATCTGATTGGGTTGTTGATGTAAAACATTGGTGCTTAACGAAAGAAAACTTTTTTTTTTTTTTTTTTTTTTTTTTTTTTACCTCTGCCACTTTCCTATTTCAAAAAATTAATAGGAAAGGTAAAATGGGTCTGTTTTATTTTGGGAGTCCTTGCTTCTCTACATGCACTGTCAGCTGTTATTTTTCTCTTCTATACAAAAATGGCTCCAGAAGCAGAGTTAAACAACTATTTACCCGTTTCCTTGAATCTCAGAAAGAAAAGTTTTTACTTAAAATATTATTATGAGCAACAGTGATATAAAGGTCATTATAATAATACAATAAACAATAGTAATAAGAAACAAAACTAGGTATAGAGGTAAGGTAGGTAGGACTAGTAACTCAATCCTTATATCAAAAATGAACAATAATAATAACTATAAATATAATAATAATAACAGTAAAAATAATAATTATAATGATAACAATAATAATAATAATAACAACCATATCAACTGCAGTTACCAAACATAAACTCACCATCACTTTTGAGGTATTTCATGCTCGTCTCCACAGGGATTACTTTGGAACGGTCTTTCACTGGGTCTCGTTCTGCTTGAGGCTCTCCTTCCTCAGCTTCACACCTTAGTCTAGTGCTTGTGAATAGACTGGAAGCTGCATGGCTTCTTCCTTCAACCTGCATGAAGAAATGAAGCAATAACCTGAATGTATTTTATACTTCCTCTACTAGGGTAGTTGCAGGATTGGGGCCCTCACATACCCTCACAGGTATTTGGCAATGTGCTTACCACTATCAAAGAGATTGACTAATATAATGGTCATAAAGAACATTCCTGAATTTGTTTCATAAAATTAAATAAAATGAAACAAGACAATTATTCCCATAAGAAAAACCTTAAAAAGATTGGTTGCATTCCCCAACCTACCTTCATGACTCTCAAAATATTGAAAAGTAATTGAATTTCCTAAATTAAAATCCCAGTAAATAAACAATAGTTGTGTAGATTATCATGCACAACATCACAAGGCAGATATACTGAGGACACTTATAAGTTAGAGAAAAGCTTGGTAAGTAGCAATGTAGGGGAGTATGGGTGGCCATCCACAGAGATGTTGAACTAGAAGAGTCAAAGGAAGGACCCCCTGAACCTCCTCCTTTGCTGCCACTTTCCTCTCATTCAAACTTCTATTTATGTTTGGATCTGCAACATCGACGATGCTATGTCTGCATCCACATGGCAGAAAATCTCAGTCCTTTATCTTTTTCATTTCTTTTGAAGATTAATCTTTACAGAATGGACACACTAAGGTACAGCAAATTAAAGATGATGATATTCTTGTAGAGAACAAAAAGTTGTAGTCCTCAGTACAAGAAATAATCTGCAGACATGAATAGTAAAGCCAAAAACAAGGAAAAAATTAGTGGAAAGAGTCATTCATGGCCAAAGTCACCTCCGTGGATGTTGGAGGACAGAGCTGTGAGATGCATTCAAAAATCCTAAAAACCACTCACTAAGTGATCTAGACAATAGACAGAAGCAAAAGAAAGTTTGGTGTTTTGAGAAATAAAGGTATTTGGTTTATTCTTTACACTATGGACACAGCTCTATCTTTCTGTACATACTGAGGTGAAGAAAATGTTGAATGGGAGGTGTTGGGGAGCAGAGCCCCCCCATCAACCCTCCCCTCGGGCAGCCACGTAGTCACAGCAACTTATATTGTTTAATAAAGGTTGTGATGTGGAGTTTGGTCAGGATGTATTGTATGATTACCACTGGGGCTTTGGATGCTGTGAATTCCTGTAGATTTCACTGAAAGATGGGTTGGATTCCTGTTGACCTTTTTGAAGGTTGGTGTGCCGGTCTATAGAGTATCAAAGATGGTAGCTAAGTCTGTAGAGTTTTATTAGCTGATTTTAAGTTTTTTTTTTTTTTTTTTTTTTTTTTTTTTTTTTTTTTTTTTTTTTTTTTTTTTTTACATTTTTGTTCTCTATTCTTCTGATTTCAACCCGTTGCAGGGTTTGTTGTTGCACAACAATTGTTTAGCATTACGTAAATTAGTGATGGATGATACATTATTTATACTTCATTTCTACACTATCAAAATGAGTTATAATTGAAGGCACAACCTAGCAGATTTCAGTTTAACCCATTGGATCCGGGTGCGTCACGTAAATCAGTGCCAAAAATACGAGCAATGGGTTCCATAAGTAGCCAAAATCCTGGGCGTGCAGCATGTTGATTAGGCATGCACAAACACACACGAGTGATTTTAAATCTCTGTGCCTCCTCTTTGCAAAGTTATTTTGGGTTACTTTTTAATTTTTTTTTTTGCCATTTGCCAATGTCCATCTCTGTCTTTTGATTTGCTTTATCCAGATAATAATAGCTTATTTTCCTTGCACAGACACCATATCATCTCTCTATGTAGTAAATAACTCAGTGCAATGGAAAAAAAAAAGGAACATTTATGTCATATATCTTATTTTTTGTGTATTTTCAGATTTTTGTAATACAACCTGCACTGCCGGTCACAGTGTCCAAGAATACGGTGTGCAGTGTGGCAAAGGCATCCTCCCTGGAGCATGTCATGGCTTATGAATGTTACATTCCACATTTGTTCATTGACGGGAATAATGCTAAAGCTCCCTTCTACGTGTCAAATGAGTCAAATCACACTCCAAGAGGTTTGTGTACTTGTGGCAAGTCTTTACTGTCTTCGCTCATGACAGCAAGTTCGCGTCACTTGGCCTGATGACAGAGCATTTTCACGTCACCCGGCCCTCAACCCAGATTTTTGTATGACGGGATTGTGACATCATCTGGGTCGTAGGGGTTAATTGATAAATCTTTTAGGTCTGCAAGAACTTATCTATTTCAAAATTGGAAAAAAAAAAGTCTATTTATTGGCCTCATAGACATACAGCTTATGTTAATTTTTTCTACTATGTCCTCATGACTGATCTCGATGATCTTAGTATCACTGGATTCTTCTCACAGTCTACAATGCAAATATGCACCCTCCCAGAGACTAAGTTGGAAAGAAAAGAAAAGAAAGAAAGAAAGAAAGAAAAAAAAAAAAAAAAAAAAAAAAGTTTTTCTGCAGGAAATCCAATTGATTCTTGGTGCTTTTTCTTGTGCGAATGAATCGATCAGGAGATTGAGTACCATTTCTCCATTGACAATCTCGATTTGATTGTCCCGTTAGCAGGGGAGGGCATGAAGTATATTAGGGAAATTATGGAGTAAAACATGCTTAACTATGAAGAATAAAGATAAAAAATATGTAAAACTAGCAAAAAATAAAAAATAAAAAATAAAAATAAAAAAATAAATAAATAATAAATAATAAAAATCGGCTAATGAAACTATACGGACGTACCAGAATTCAAAAACTCTATGGGAACTCAACCTGCTTTTCAGCAAAACTCTACAGGAATTCACACGTTCCAACCCCCACAAAAAAGATACTGACCAATAAACCAGCCTAATATAGAACTTTCAGTTGCTGTGACTAGGTGTGCCCTTTGGGCACTGCCCAAGGGGAGGGTTGATGAGGGGCTCTGCCCCTCAACACTCCCCAGGACACATTCTCTTCACCTTGGTATGTATGGCAAGATAGAGCTGCATTCACACCAAAAAATATTAAACTAATACCTTTATAACTGCAACTGTCAAACTTTCATACGCTTCCTTCTGCCGTCTGGATTGCTTCAATTTTAATCTTTAATTTCTTACCAGCGTTACACCTAGAAATGAGTGGGCAGCTGCCGGCTACGAAAGGAAGTACGAAATGCAATGCACGATGTGCACAATTATAAATAAGGCTATAAATCAATCTTAAAACATGTAAATGAAGTATAATAACATTAATAAAAGACTTTAAGAGAATAAATGTGAAACAGCATACACTGATAATTAGCCAAATATTGTTCTGACATGCGCGCAGTACCACTGGTACTAGAGTAATGCATTCAGCAGTCAGTGTTTTGTTTTCTTCCCAAGGTACACAAGCTGATTGACAGAATTTGAACAACGAGGAAGCGTTTTATTTTCGTCATTTAGCGGTAATTATGAGACCGCTGAAGCTTAAACTGTGTTCTATCCCATTCTATTTCTTCCACTCTATAAGAAGGCAGTGTTCATTTACCTCTATCTACGCATGTTGGTGTCTGTAACTTATACTATGTATATTATTTACATTTTACCTTGCAATTTCCCTGGTACAGTCTGAGACTAAAGTCCTCGGAAAGGTTTTGCGTGTTTTGTTTATTGCCCAGAGATGGCACTGCAATCCCTGTGTAGTAAAGGGGCGGATTCCTGAATGGAGGAGGGAGGGAGGCCCAGAGTTAAGCTGTAGGGATTCATCACATTGCTTCAAACACGTGTTTGAATCAACGAGATGGAGGAAAATGCGAGTGCGTCAATGAACTCCCATTCATCTAGCGCAGCGCCATCTCTGGGCAATAAACAAAACACGCAAAACCTTTCCGAGGACTTTAGTCCCAGACTGTACCTTTCATGCTTTCCCATGCTATCAGATGCCCTCCCCTGCTATCAAGGCCAAGAATGTGGGAGTTTGGGGGGTTCCTGTGCATATATTTTAAAAATTTACCCAGAATATATAACCAAACAAAAAGCAAAAGCTAATGACTTTCTGAACTAAATGACTGGGGAAGTTCTACAATCATTCAGTTACTGAAGAAATCCATACTTGAGCCAATCCACGCCGTGTGGTAAACAGGCACTTCGACAACTTTGAGCAGCCAATAAATAAGAGAGGGAGAACTGTGCTGTAAAAACAGCTACACCACAAGATTTCCAGTCTAAGGTACAAGTGATTATGAATATAATTATTCCTACTGCACGGCAAGGTGGTGACCAATAGAACCTGTTGAGGCTGAGGCTGTGTCATTTAAATGTGCAACCACTTTATCTATCATCTATCTACTATATTTAATTATACATAGTGGCACTCCACTTGGCCTTCACCAATCCAGAGATAATTGGCTTCAAGCGGCTCTATCCATGTATAAATTATTCTATAAAAATCATAGTATATGAAATAAAAAAAAATAAAAAATACTAATTCTGTGGCTTCTTAAATATATTACATCGAAGGACAATTGCATAATCTCAAAGAAAAAATCCGAGAAAAACAATCAACACAAATTCTTGAAGTATAATGAAAGTATAAAATGATGTACTGAAAGATTGATCTCATAAATGCACAATAATATAGCGTAACCATATATACCTGTAATAAAGTCTTAGAAGTTGTGCCATTGCTTGAAATTGCAGACAACACAGGCCTTACGAGAGACCGGAGGAACATCGTGGACGCCGACATTGTTTACATCTGTTCGAAGGAGATCGAATTCTATTAGGTGTATCTTTTAAGGGGATTGAAGTGTATTTTAAGGTCTGACTTGGGTTTTTAAATTCTTTAGAGAGGTTCGTGATGCATTTGAGGAATTATCTGGGTCTGATTTATTTTTAAGGAATTTCAGATCATGAATATTTGAAAAGATTGCGTTATATCTATGAGCCTGTAAATAAAAAATTATTTGGGATTGAATCAAGATTCGGATATAATTAAGGGTATTGAATAACATCTATGGAGTCGAATAAAGGATCGGAACTCCTTTACCACCCCCGTGATTTCGAAGATCGCACATTCATTTGTTTTGCGGGGCTGTGAAGGGTGGTGGGAGTTGTGAATCATAAACCAGGTAAATTCCAGCTTATTTAAAGATATAAACATATTTCGACACTATTGATTATAACTTAATATCTTTAGAAGTACTTCTAGGGGGACCAAATACCTTGAAGCTACGGAAAAAGCGTGAGATCTTATACCACAGACGAGCACCCCCTTCATAGCTCATAGTCCTCCTTGATGGAGCTGATGAGCAAAAGCACCATTATAAAGGAAATTTTATAATGTGAAATTTCAACTTTACCTAGCTGAACTCTAGCTTCTTGCCTTCTAATAAACATTCCTCAGAACCTGTAGAATCTGTAGCTATCAATTCCGTTGCAGATATCACCCGGGCCGAGCCGATGCACGTAGATAACAATCTACGATGTAAAGGCCAAGGGAAATGGCTACGCACGACATATTTGATATGATTCTTAATCCACCTGTAAATCATTGTAAATAATCTACCCAATCCCTCGAGAGTGCGTCGGGTTATTGTGTAGTGTTTGTGTCATATCTCGAGAAGGAAATCAGTGTTTTAAGTGATAATGGATACACCCTCGACGAGTGGAGCGACGGCGACCAACGCAACACAGAAGGTAAATTCTTTAATTACGCATATATCCCCATGAATTAGTCAATATGAATGAGTTAGTCGAGCTTTGATAAGTAGAAATAGAGATGATTTAGCATGGAGTTAGAAATAAACCTCACGAGTTGTTGAAATCGATAGAATTCGTAGAAATACGTATTTTTATAATCCACACCTTGCTTATTTAACCGGCACAGAGTGGTAATTGTCGAATTGATTTATTTATGCAAGTAGAAATACGAGTAATTTTGCTCTCGAGAAGTCTTTTATTACAATTAGTGTCATGTAGATATATATTTCGAGGGAAAATACAGGTAAGATTAGGTAATTAATAAGTAATGAAGCTAATTTTTTTTTCTGGCAGTATTATTGATGTATATTTTTTTCAATTTCTTCTAGAGGGAGGCATGGAAAACATAATGAATCGTTAATTTAATTGTTATAATGATGAAGAGAAAATATCCCATTCCTTAGAATATATGTAAAAATAACAGAAATAAGTAGTTGCAATGTGTACAATGTAATGATGATTAAATAACATGATATTAGGTACAGAAAATAAACTAATCCTATTAATAAAGGTACCATAATCACCCTTACTGATGTACAGATTTTTATAAGGAAGTGAAAGGCAGCAATACGGTCACTTTCAGACTTAAATAGGCTACCTGCGCTTCAGGGTGGTCTAACGAACCGATAATTTTTCTGCCAAGGAGGAACATGTGCGCCTCCTTGGTGTTGGACGGTATCTTGCCCGAATGTACTGCGGTAGAGGACGTTTGCCTTTGCTGGGGCGTCTTTATGATGGAGGGAGGATTAAGGATTAGTATGCATTATGGAGGCCATAGCACTGCTTGTTGTGGTCCTGTTCTGGACATTGACTTTATGATGTAATTGTACAATTATGTATGATAATAAGTTTTTTTGATGTCTGTATATATATAGTTATTATTATTATTATTTTTTAAAGTTTTGTATATTGTTGCACATCTTCAATAATGTTTAAATTTTTTTATTGATTTACATTGGAGATAAGAAGCTTTGATTTGACAGTTACCAGTTTATGATTCATGTTATTAAGGGACGAGGTACATGTTATAAATAACGTATTGGTTTATTTTTTCATAGATTGTTACTGGGTCATTCCATATGTGCTCAACCAAGCAGTCAGAAATCTTCTCGTGACACTGTATCAGAGTTTTCTGTAGATTGCACCTAAGGCATTTTATTATAAATGTGTAAGCTTGTAAAATTTTCATTTTCAGTTCTGATCTGATTTTGTATAAAGATTCCCCGAAACATGAGGCCACACCTTTAGATATTGCACAAACCACCAGCATTTGCAGGGAGTTCGAAGTATATCTTGACAGTGAATTTGTATCTGCATCTGAAAACTAATACCAATGCTAACGGGTACCCATTCATTCAGAGTCTGTCTTTGGAATAAGTCTCTTTCTTTTCGTAGCAAATGTTTAGATGACATCTTCCCAACTAACCCTGGCCTTATGGGGCTTATACAAATGGACAAATGGACCAATATCATATACTCTTACACGATAGATTTTGCAAACCTCATTGGCATATGTATTGTATAGTAGTGAAGCAATGGGAGCTCTGTCAGACCTTACAATAGAGAGATTTCTTTTGCATTTTGTTGGAGCAAAAAGCATGGAGGCGATACATTGCAGTTGGTGACATATTAACAAATACTCTTATTGTCTTCATGTGTTATTATATGTCTGTTTATTATTTTATTCTGGATTCTAAAAGCCTGATAGGTTTAATATTAAATATGAAACCTGCTCAAGCTTAATACTGCTGGAGTATGTAGCGATTTGGTGAGGTTTGCTCGCTGGCTAAGGGAGTTGCTTTAACACAAGTCACAGGGTTTGTTTATGATCTCTATTTTACTTTCAGTCTGCCTTAACTAGAATAAAAATAGGTCTTTTAGAAGTTCCCACTGTATCAGTTCTGTTGTCTTGCATTATAATTATACTTTATGGCCTTTATTCAGAATGGTAATTTTACCAAAATGAAGTATCTGAGCAGAAAGTTAATTTAATACATGCCACTTCTTTAGATTACGATAATTCTCGGGGCTTTGTGCATCACATTCAAGGGGAAGCAGATCCAAGTGAAATGTAATTACATGTGTAATATCCAGTAAGAATACTGAGAAGGCAAAATGGCTTGTACTAAATCTCCAGTCTTGACAAGAGTGACAAGTGTGATATATGGTCAGAAGAGCTTGCAAGAAGTGTGATTGCTTGACACTGAACAATTCTGTAAAATCGCGAGTTTTTGATGCCTTGTTATTACGCCAATGGGATGGAAAACATATAGACATGTATACATATTTATATATAAAATATTTGGTTGGGTTAATTACTGGATTTTCCCCTCTTTTGGTCAGTTAGAAAGAACTTCAAATTATGTATGCTCTATGCAGTTAGTTTTCTTGGTAAATATGTTATACAGGTGCAAATATTCTCAAATCATTTTCTTTAACATGTAAAATTATAGTATTTTATTTTGGAATTAAATCTGCAGCCCTTTTCAATTCTGTTTCTTTTTAAATCAATGTGTGGCTCCTTGATGTCTCGATGACATGTAATGTTAAAGAACGCTCTAGTTCATATTTTTTTTAATAGGTTTACATGTCGCTCTTTTTATTGTGTTAGTTTAGCAAAAATCCTACTCTAATCACCAAAAAGGATGAAAGAAAAAGTCATAAACTAGGTGGTTTATCAAAGAAAGAAGATGAGGATAAAAGCTTATGTGTCCAAACTGCTATACCGGTTTCAGGCAAGAGTTTTAATTCTAGAATAACCTGGGTGGTGTTAGTGTAACCTGACCACCGGTTCAAATTTTAAAAGAATTTGCATCATGAGATTTAGTTTTCTTTTAGGTGTCTTTCTTTGCCATAGTTGAATTTTTCTAGGTTTATTTAGTATTAGAGGACGAGGGAATAGTTCAGTTTTTATTTTTATTTTTATTTTTTATTATTATTATTTTATTTTATTTATTTATTTTTTTTTTTCAAATGATAGTGTGCTTATCTCTATATATAGTTCTTATCAGCGAGTAACGCAATAGGAGAGGTGTTTTATCACATGCGTATGAAGTGTTAGATACGAAATTAAGGCTTAGTGACAGTCGTATGATTTAGAATTGTAATGTGTGAATGTTTTAGTATTTATGTGTCAGTTTTCGGCATTCAGGTCATGTGAAGTTTGATGAAGATAATAAAATGTGGTTGATTAGCTAATTGTGCAACTTTCTGTGGTTGTAAAAGTTATTCTTTCATTATAAGGCTATAACTGTTTTTCTATAATTTTATGGCGAATTTTAATTTTGATATTTTATTCCTGGATATATATATATATATATATATATATATATATATATATATATATATATATATATATATATATATATATATATATATATATATTGTTATTCAGCTGAAGGAAAGAAAAAAGGAATTTCAGTTTATGCTGCTTGCTTGTTTGCTTACATTTATCATCATCATCAGCACCAATTTGTTCTCCTCTCCTGCCGTCTGCCATTCGTCACCTGTTCTCGCCGTGATAAGTGTGGATAAGAAAAGATGAACAAGGAAACCAGAATTGGCCGAGATAATTATTGGGTAGGCTGGGTCTACTGTCGGTCGGGAAGAGAGCTCGGAAATATAGTTTTAGATTGGGGGTGGGGGGAGGAGGAGGGGTGGGGGAGGTCAGGTGCCACGTTAGGGGGAGAAGTGATTTCAAGACATGTTTTTACACTTTTATGGGATTTCGTAGGAGAGGTTAATAAAAGGGTTCAAAGAGGTTTGAGGAGAGGGGGAGGGGGGGGGAAAAAGCTCTTTTTCTTGTCCTTTAAATGGTTGGATTGTTTGGTATTTTAAAAGTTATGGTTTTGCGCTGAGCAAAGTGTCTCGGGAACTGAATTATCCTTCGAAATAAAGATAAGCTGAACTTTTGAATATACGAATGGTATTATTGGTGACGCAGGTTTTATTAATAGAATCAGGATATCAAATCGCCGGACGAGAATAGTTTCTAAGATAAAC